ATCTGGAGCTGGCCGTGGAACGATCATAAATACAATAAAGCTAGCAATGATCCACTGGCCACTTGCTAGGCATCTGACGGCCAGATTTGGCCAGCCGGTTGCTAGTTGAATAACCCTGACTCTATGTAATAGAGGATCGGAAGGTCGTTGGTTCGGTTGCTGACGGGGCTGGACTTAAAAAAAAAAAAGACTTTAACTCCCAGGTCGACCCAGCTCTGAGTGGGTACCAGATAAGTCCTGGGAAATAAAGACGGCCGGCCAAATGCTGACCACATCACCCACCAGGTGCCGTTCCATCAACCCAATACGCCTGAAAGGCGTGGAAAAGTCTCCTTTATCTTTTTACTTTACAATGTGATGGAAATCTGGCAAAATCTTGGAAATGACATTGGAGTTCAAAAACGCCAGGATAAGGCGGATTCATAGCAAACTATGCTCTTGACAGGAACCGAAGTGAATAATTACTTTCAGAGTGAATGGACATCAGCACAAAGCCTCTATTAGCAGCTGACATTTAACATATTCGTGAAAATTGATTTCAGGGGAAATGTCAGGACAGACAAGCACTGCGTAAAATGAGGCGGTAATCCATTAGGATATGTTGAACAAATCAACTAACTAGTGCGGTCTGGTTTATGGGTGTAGTATCATCTACCAAGCAGCGCGGTAGCGCAGTGGCAGAAACTCGCCTGACGTCTTTAAGATACTGTATTCGAATCTTCATGTAGTGGAAAAGTTTTCAGAATGGTCTTTGGCTCTCAGGGTAACAAAAGCAAGGTACGATGTAATGTCACCGGAAGTACAAGCGACCGGCAAGATGTTGACAACATCACCCACAGGATCTGACTGTTCAGTAAAACAATAAATCTAAGCGAAACTCGTATTTGAATAGTTCCCCGCCTTTACTAAGTACTACGGTAAAATTTCCCTAATATCAACTTGTTTAAGACGAACAATCAGTTAACATCAACAATATTTTAGCCACAGCAAGTATGTGCCAAAATTACATGTATTATTATTATTATTATTCCCCGGTATCACGGATTTTGTCCCCCTTATAAACTCTAGATTTGTCGGTCCCTTGAAATTCGTATTATGAGTTTGTGTGTGTGTGTGTGTATAAAGATATGCCCAATGCACCAATGTTGTGACAGTAAGAGTCTCAATAGTTTACTACATTGCACATGATGCTCTCCCATTTGGCTGGGTCTCTACAGAACGGCAAGCCGACTACTGAGAGAGCACCCCCACCCTGCCCCACCCCCCCCCCACCCCACACAAACTGAACTCTGTAGCTCCAGCGACTGCCGAAAAGATACCATTACTGACTGTATTTACCACTTTTGCGCTGTATGCGGGGAGGGGGGAGGGGTTAGCCTGAGAATTTAGGCCCGCTAGTGCTGTCGCCACAAACTGTGCAGCAGACCGAGATTCGAATCCGGTTATCCTGTATGAGATCCCAACCGTTCGGTCAGTCGCTCCGGCAACGATCCCTTCAAATCGCTGTAAAATCTGCACTCGTAGACCGAACGACGCAGCCGGCAAACGAACCATGTGGTCAGAAGAGCACTTGGGTCACTTACTTCTATTCTTAGAGGTAAGTCAAAATAAACAACTAGTTTCTATTTCTTTTGATGGTCTACTTGGTGTTTAGTCTATATAATAAACAAAAATATTAGACCAGACGAAAGGTAGAATCACTTACTTTCACATTACCACCGCTGCGTATCCTTCACAGGACGATGTAGAACCAACCGCCATTTCTGTTTCTGTTTCGGTTTTTCTATGCACACTTTACATTCAGTTGCTTTCTATTGCTTCCAGCTCTCGGTACTCTTAAACCCAACGCAAGACCATCTGCAGGAAAATCGCCTGAAGCAGGGATCGAATCTGGCACCCGGCATTACAAAGCACTTTCGCAAAGCCTAGGTCAACGAAAAGTGAACATTACGGCTAAAGAGTCTTCATCAGCACATTACATGACTATAAAATTTCACGAAAACGAATACAAATACACAAAAATCACTTGACTGAAGTAACCACGAGTGAAACCATCTATCTGTTTCGGCAGATCAGTCTCTGAACGGGTAGGCCACGGGCAATAAATACTTTTAAAAAAAAAAACATTAAAAAAAAAGGTGTAAATGGCGAAGGTAACTGAAAATATTAGATATAACTATATTGATGTTTGGTCCCTAGGCGAATTTGATCCCATTAGACAGATAAGAGGATTCTCAGAATCTGACCGACTCTGTCAATGCAGTTGCTCAACGTGGTGGTTGTATGTCCACAGACCCTACCTGGTAATAGCCTTTTTGTCAGTTGAACCATAGGAAGGTTCATCTGCACAATCTATCGAGTCTAGTCTTTTCATGCAGGGTAAGTATATCCCAATCATCGAGTGGTTTCGAACCAGGTCGGCTATCCTCTCCTGGTTTAGCCAGCCCGTCAAAGCTTTGTGGCAAGCTTCTAGCAAGGCAGGACACTTAAGATGCTTTGGTCATCCAGTGCACTTAGGTCCATTGCCGGTCGTCTCAGCATTGTCCTGCCACTGGATCAAGATGGACATAGGCGAGAGAGAAAGAGAGAGAAAGAGAGAGAGAGAGAGAGAGAGAGAGAGAGAGAGAGAGAGAGAGAGAGAGAGAGAAAGAGATTTCAACGAATTGCACAACTCTTCCTCACTTAAATCCAAGTCCTTATGGAAGTCACTTTCATCCAGTTAACGCCAGAATGCAGTTTCTGCAAACTTGAAAACAGCGCCTAGAATAGAAACGGTGTCGCCCTGCTGACCAAGCTAAAGATTTACAGAGCTGTAATTCTTCCAGTACAGCTCTACGCTTGTGAAACGTGGACTGTGTGTATCACCATCAAGCTAAAATGTTGGTCAATTTCACATAACTCGTCTCAGAAAGCTGCTCAGAATCAAATGGCAAGGTAGGATCCTAAATTCTGCGGTTCGTGATTTGGCAAACCTGCCTAGCATCCACACGATACTGAAGAATTATCAGTTGCGTTGGTCTAGTCACCAGAGAGCATTTGATAGCAAGCTCCAGCAAGAGAGGAGGTCCCAGGTGAGAGAGGTAGAGAGATATAACGACACACTCAAAACTGCTCTCAATTATTTTGGCATCAACACAACGAAATCAGAGGCTGCTGCACAGAAAGGTTCTGGATGGCTAACATCCCTTCGCAGGCATGGAGCATCCGCCTGCGGGGCAGCGAAGGTTACACAGGCAGAGAAATGGAGGCCGACTAGCAAGAACCAGGGCTGCCAATGGGATTTTTTTGGAAAAAACCCAGCTTCGCTAAACAAAAATCCAGGCAATGCATAGACAAAGAACAAAAAAAGAAAAAAATATATATATCCTTTTATAAAAGGATATATTAAAAAAAAAAACCTAGATTTCCCCGAGGCGTCTAATAAAAAACCCAGATCTGGGGGGAAAACCCAAAGATTGGCAGCGCTGGCAAGAACCGTATCGCTAATCCCACATTTACTGCGGCGTATACCTGTTGTCCGCACTGTTCAAGAACTTTCCATGCTCATTTTCGACTAATCAGCCACCTGAGATTTGAGGTTTGAACAACGGGCCAACATCATGGCACGCGGGTAGTAACTCTTAAGTGCTCCGTTTTTCTTCTTACTCAAGTCTGAGTCCAAAGAAGCTTAGCACAGGGCACAGGCTCCCTAGCATGGACGAGGATAATGATCCTGATCCCGATCTTACTACCCAGAGACCAGGGCAAATTACTAAAGTCCAAGGCCACGTAAAAAAAAAGTTTCCAGCTCTTACCGGGAATTGAACCTGGAACCTTTAGCACTCGAGTCGGACACCATGCCTCGAGACCACGCAGCTCCCCTTTAGCCATCGTTGTATACATAATTGTTGATTATTACTACTTTGGATGAAAAGCAATCTTCATCACTCGTGATGGACAGAAAAAAAAATCATGTCGAGAACGCCTAGGCAACCCTCAGAACTGAAATACACTAGTTTTGTTCGCTATCTATAACATTTCTTAGTATAGTTTTTTTAACCAGATCGACCCCTCGGGATTCATTAATTGAAATTAAATTTATGAAAGTAATGGATTCGTTTCCAAGACTTTAAACCTATCTGAAATGGCGCTAGATGTCTGTTATGTGTGTTTAAGTCAGTCCTCGTTATCTGATGATGTCTATATTACGCTAGCGGTCGTTACTGTCGAGAATTTTGCCAAGAATGTTTGTTAATTATTCTATCTATTCATGAAATCCCACTGCAGCGAAATCCGGTGGGTCGAGGCAGGCTGGTTACGCATTCAGTGGCATGAGTCGTTGCAAAATTCTCCTGTGTGTGCAGGTACATTCAAATTCGGCCCAGGGCATGCAGGCATTGTTGGTAACGAGAGAGCTGATAGACTGGCAGGTGCTGCATTAACTGAAGTTGGCCGGCCAATGGATCACGCAGACATTGTCATTGATTGCCTTTAGAGAGATAGGACGCTCCGAGGATTTTGGAAGCAAGGTGTCCACATCACTGCTAAGAATACGCGAATTGGGAGTAAAGATCGGCACAGCCAAGCGTGAGAAGCACACTGGACGCACACGAAGTCTTCCTAACCAACATATAACTTGTACTATTAACCACACGACGCTGATGAATATGTTGAGAGGAGAATCTGCGCGCCTATAAATGTGTCAGGAGGGCAGTTAGGATAATCTAACTTATAACTGTAGCGAAAGCGTCTTAAAAGAACCTACCAACATAATCACATATTAAAAAAATTATCTTGTTTATTCTAGCATAAAATTCACACATCGCTGCGTTTGAATTTTTATGTTTAGATTTTGTCACTGATGCCTAATTAAACTATTAAACTACGTATGCATGTAACTTTACAACAGGAGTGAGAACATAAGAGCTAATGTTTGACAAGCTGGAGTGTCTTTATCTTAGCACTTTGAAGATAACGTTGATTCGTTTGCTCGTTCACTATTGTTGATTTGTCTTTTACAGGGTACTCCAATTTTAACGAAGGCCTGACGTACTTCGACACAGCAATGACGTTAGTAATACCCGCGATCCTAGTTTTCTCCTTCATGTGTGGAATCTTCGTCTCACTACTTGCCGTCTACAAGAGAAATAAGCGGATGAAGAAACTAGGTAAGACAGTTATTTCCTCTAGGTGTCTGGTGTATGTCTGACAGGAATACGTTTCATATATGTTCCAGTACATATTGGGGTATAAGGAAATAAACGAGCGGGCTGGCTTGCTGGCCGGGCAACAGTAGGTACAGGAAAAGCAATAATCTCGGCTGATATTCTCAGAGTTCCCCGGTAGGCAGGACACAAAGATGATTCAGGAGACTTCGATGAATCAACAACGTTGACACGACAAAAGGTGTTGCTAGACATTAACTGTTTGCAGACAAAGAACCGACACAAAGCTGGAGGTATAAGTCGACACATTCTAAAGAAGTTACTACAGAGGGGATACGAGCTCGTATGGACTTATCCGATGTGCGACATGAATGAGGGGCAATAAATGGGACCGGAAAAGTGGATACGGGGTGGGGGTGGGGGTGGGGGTGGGGGTGGGGGTGTTGGTGGGGGCGGGGGCAGAAGAGATCATGCTGCGGTGGCAAATCATAGTCTGTACAAGGCTATGTGCAATGGTCGCCGACAATGCTAGGCGCTATGGTTGCTGACAAAGCTTGGTGCCGTGGTTGCCGAAAAGGCGCTATAGTTGCTAGTTCCACTGGTCGTTGCGATGGTCGTGAGTCCCATGCCTCCATAAAACACACTTTAACACTTTTAAAAGTATAGTGACAAGAAATCCCAGAAAAATTTATGTGTGGGACAACATAATTACAATACATACATTAATGACTTGACAATCTTTATAACAATTGAAATGGTAAAATAAACACACACACGTACTGAATATATAGCGCTGGACCTAAATTTTTTGAAGACCAATCAGCACTCGGAAGGTGTTGCAGTAGACATCACACCAGCCGACTTTATATATATATATATATATATATATATATATATATATATATATATATATATATGACACCTTTTTATTATATATATATATAAATCTTTATATATATATATATATATATATATATATATATATATATATATATATATATATATATATATATATTGATCATCATCATCATGTAGTAGGTCCTTTGCAGAACTTCGATCTCATCACAGCCTGCCTGAAAGAAACTCGATCTCTCGCCAGTTCTCCCGCCTCATGTACTTTCATACTCAAGGAGTCACTCATATCCTTTGCCCATCTTCGTGTCGGTCGTCCCCAGTCCCCCCTTTCTGGTACCATGCCATCTGCTATAATTGTTTCCAATCCGTCGTAGCGCTTGACATGACAAAAATATTTTAGCTTCCGAGACAGGATGCTGTTTTTTAGCCAATCTTCCTTGATGTTCAGATCTTTCAAGATGTCAATATTTCTCCTCTTCTTTGTCCAAGAGATTCTGAGAATCTTTCTATAGCATTTCAGCTCAAAAGCACCTATTCTCTTTCTTAAGGACTGAGAGATAGTCCAAGACTCACATCCGTATGTGGCCACAGTGAAAATGCATGCTCTCAAAATTTTAATTTTGAACTTCTTCCTGGTGCTCAACCTTAGACTTCAATCTTTGCATTGCTATGACCATCCTCCTTTAAATTTCTGTCAAACAGTCTCCATTGCTGTTTATTATAAAAGTAAAGTAAAGATCCCTTTTCACTCCTTTAGGCGTATCAGGTATATGCGAAGAGCTCCCATATTTTTGCAGACCATCGGCACTAGGTTGGTAATGTGGTCAGCATTACGCCGACCGTCTTTACTTCTCCATGACAGCCATCATGGTACCCATTTTAGGCTGCGTCGACCTGCGACGCGCTGTTTATTATAGAGCCTAGATATTCAAAGTTTGTGATATTTTCAATTTCTTCATCATTTATTCTCATTTCTGGGTGACAGCCAGTTTAATCTGTAGAGTATTTTCGTTTTCTTTAAATTCAAGAACAGATTTTGATCTTCACTGTGCTTTTGGACAGACAATAATAAATTTTATATTCCCTTTACGCTGTTCGAAAGGAGGACTGTGTCATTTGCGTAGCGTAGTTCCGGAGTAGGGTTGCAACCAATTTTGAGCGGATCATAACTGTCACAGGTCTGGTCATTTTTGACATTTCTTATTATATTTCTGCGTGTATATTGAAAAGGTATGGTGAGAGAATGCACCCCTGCCTCACCCCTTTTGCACCTCGATGGTTCACCAGCTGCTCTGATTGCTGCTTGTTGTTCATGATAAAGATTTTCAATTAAATGCACTAAATGTGCTGGAAACCCCATACTTTTCATAATAGTTCACGGTTTGTCGTGTTGGACACAATCAAATGCCTTGCTATAATCAATAAAACAAGCATGAAGATCTACGTTGTATTCTCTTTTTTTTCAAATATTATTGTCATATTAAAGATGTGATCTCTAGTTCCTGTACCCTGTCTGAAACCCACTTGTGCTTCAACTAGCTCATATTGTAATTTCCTTTCAATCCTCTTCATGATAATTCGTGAGAGGATTTTGCTACAATGACTTATTAATGCGATGGTACGGTAGCTGGAGCATAGTTTCAGATTTCCTTTCTTTAGGAGAGGGATATAGATTGTTCTTTTCCACGCTTTTGGCCAAATGCTACTGTTCCAGATCTTGGAGCACAGTGCATGATAGATTCGGACGCTGGCCTCTCCTCTTGCTTGAAGTAGTTCTGCAAGTATTTCGTCGCCGTCTGGTGACTTTCCTTTCTTCAGGTTGTGTATTGCTGACCTACCTCATCCAGTAAAGGCTTTGATTCTTTTTTATAACTTTCACAGGTTGTTTTTGAATTACTTGTCACATCCTCTAACATTTCTCTACAGTATTCTTTCTATCTTTCTATTATGTCTTTGTTTCCCGTTAATGTGTTCCCATTTTTATCACTTATTACATGAAAAGAAGGCCTGAATTTGCCTTTTAATGTTTTTATTTCTTCAAACATGTCTCTGTCTCTTCCTTGCATATGGAGTTGTTCAGTTATATTACAGGCATTTATAATAAACTGTTTTTTTTAAATCTTATATGATAGCTCTTCTGATTTCTTTTGTGTAGTTCCTATATGCAATGATATTTGTTTCTGTCCCTACTTGCTTTAAATTTCTTCTTTCTTCTATCAGCTTGAACGTTTTTTCTGTAATGTAAATCTGTTTCTTGTGTCTCGTGTTCTGACCTGTTGTAATGATGATGTTACTTGCTTCATCAGCCAACTCATCAAGTGTCAGTAAACAAACTTAAAAACACTAACTCGATGAAGAGTTGTGGTTTTTTTTTTTTTTTAGAAGAATGCAAAGAATATCATGCATTATTAATTTTAAAAAAAAGAAGAAATCATAATTCAGACAAATATATATATTGTGATTTATAAGTGATATATAAAAATACATTTAAAGTATTAAAGTGATATCTAGAACCTGTGTTGTTATATGTATGTGAGACATGGACAGTGAGTAAACAAACTTAAACACACGAATTAGAGACAGAGTTGCGGTTTTTAAGAAGAATGCAACGAATATCATGGATTATTAATTGAAAAAAAAAAAAAAAAAAACAGACGAAACAATCATTGAGACAGATACAAGTAGTAAACTTTTTAGAAACATTAGACGTAGAAAATATATATTTTTCTGATATGCTATGAGAAGGATGTGACTCAAGAATTTGTTAACAACAGGTAAGAGGGAGGGGGGGGGGGGGGGGGGGGTGGGTAGTGGGGTAAGGGGTAACTTGGCCCTCTACAGTTTCTAAACACGTGGGGCCCCATGATCTGGCGTCTGTGGAGAGACTTGTTGTAACGATGATGCAGCAATAGCTCACAACAATGGTAATGAAGTTAGCTCGTCGAAATAGCCAAATACTTGCGAATGCCGATGCAGCTGACATATAGTGTATTCACCAAATAAAATGTACACTTGCTCAAGCATAAACGGTTTACCAGAATGAGGACAATTCTGTGCAAATGTATCTTGTTCATTCGAAGAGGGATAGCCACACACATACACACACACACACACAGAGGGGAAGAGAGAGAGAGAGAGAGAGAGAGAGAGAGAGAGAGAGAGAAGGGGGGGGTGGCATGAGTGTTTGATGGTGCTCTTTAGATCTCTATAGAGTTTTATTGTAGGGCGTTAAATCTTGGGCATCGAACAGATCGAAAGAAAGGAGGAGATAGACACACACATATAGATTTGTATATGTACACATACACACATACACATATACACTGGATGTAGGAAGAGAGAAAGAGAGAGAGAGAGAGAGAGAGAGAGAGAGAGAGAGAAAGAAAGAGAGAGAGTATAAGACGCAGACACAAGAACGCAGTTAGAGAGGTAAGCGCTAGATAAGACGTGATTTGCTTCAACCTGATGACATTTTATGACGCATCTGTGTAATCAAATGTAAACACAGAGTGCAACGAATCGATAAGGAGAAATAGAAAAACAAAGATTCACTTGGATAAAGTCACAGTAAAAAACCCCTGTCTTGTTTTAGGAGGTAACAAATATATGGAGCCAACAAAACCATACATTTAGAGAAAAAACAATTGGCTTTAGACTGTCTTTATGCTTAGTATCACGCCAGCCCATTTGCTAATACAAATGTAAAGTAACCTTTTCGTAGACCACGAGGCAGACCAAGAAGATTGTGGAGAGATAATGTCCAGACAGATCTACAAACACTTAGTGTCACCAACTGGAAAAAAGAATTCCAACAGCAGAGATGAATGTAAACGGGCGATGTTTGCAGCAATAAATCTCAGAGACTCGGAATGCAGGGGGAAAAATATATATATATATATATATATATACAGAATAGTCTGTCCAAAATTCCTGGTTTATCAAACGTCTCTCAACAGTGATTCCTCTTCAAAGACATGACCACGAAGCCAACAAACAAACCTGCAAACTGCTTGAAACTGTTCAGAAAACAGGCCTGCAAACAGCCTGAGAACAGTTCGGAAAACAGGCCTGCAAAAGGCTTTGAAACAGTTTCGAAAAGAGACATGCAGAAGGCTTGCAGACAGTTTGGAATACAGACAAGCACAGGG